ATCCCAGTAATTATTGGGCGCACAGCAAAAGGGGTGATGGCACCTCATGGAAACCAGCACTGCCCCTGAACCCCGCAGTGGCTCTAGGGCCACACTGTCATTTTTTTTAAGCTTAATTGCACAGTCCAGTGCTATAAAGCAAAGCTACCCCTGCAGGACTTTGACGTCTGCCCTCTCCTAAGGAGTACCCCTCACAGTGACTGACCCCAGCCCTGTATTTCACTTCTCTATCACTTTCAGTAGAATTTGCAAAGAAATAACAAAGGCTTTTTCCTACAGGAAGCAAGATGGGAGAAGGTGCAGAAAAACACAAACAAGAGACTGAACTGGACAGGAGAAAGGGAAGGACCAGGAGAGGATTTGTGCGGAAAGGAGAAGCGAAGTGTAGGAAGTTTCAGGAAGGAAGGAGCAAATGAAAAGGCTGGATGGGGAGTTAAGGTAAATCAGTGTTTGTGAGGAAAGGGGGCACTTTCAGCGAAGCGCCCCGCCTAGTGGTCAACAAGGATAACTATGATTAGCGCGGAGGGGTGCTCGGCGCTGGAATTCAAGCATAAACACTGGCACTGGAGTTATGGGTTAAAGCCTATTTCCATGGCAAGCGGTTTGATCTGCCCGCTACTACGAGTAACTACTACGAGTTTTGTCCATCTCCAAGATGGAGACTGCAAAACCTTTCTAAATGTTTAGTCCATTGTTTGACCACAAGCCAAAGGAATCAACCAGAACTCGCCTTTCTTTCTTTAACTCTTCTTTATTCCTTCTCTACTATTTTGCTGTGCACCACGAGAAAAAAAAAAATCCAGCTTCCTCTTTTCTACAGCCACTCATGAGGTAGCTCAAGCAGCAATGCTACCTTAAGCTCCTCTTCTTACAAGAGATCGTTTCCAGCCTCTCCTCCTACATCAGATACTTCAGCTCTTACACATCTTGGTGTCCCTCCACTGAGCTCCGCTGGCCCTGCCAGTGTTGTGCATCGTGGAGCCTGGGCACAGTTCTCCAAGTGATAGCTCTGAAGTGCTGAAACCAATGGACCTAATTCCATCCCTCAGATTTTTGCCTGCGTTTGAGGCCAGGTGTGTGGTCAGCTTCCCTCCCCGCAGGGGCCCTAGACCCCTGCTAGTAGCTCACCCTCAACTGAACTTCCACATCTGTGCTGGCTAGCCCAGTCACATTCCTGTGCTCAGACATGGCAGCCAAGAGGATTTGTTCTATAGCATGCCTGGGTTTGGAAAGAGTTGCCTATAATTCCCTTGAAAATGGGCAAAATTGCCTTCCTCGGGTTCTCAGAAGCCTCTCCCCTGCCCTCTGCTACCTCGTTAGGCTCTTTTTAAAGATGACAGCAGCCAAATCCCTTGGATCCAGCCCAGCTGGTCCCATGGACTTGCGTGTGTCCGGGTTAAGTCCTCCCTAACCAACTCAACCTTCCTCATGCCTGGCAGTTCCTGAGCCTGGGCTCTGCTCAGAGGCCTGAGCATAGACCTCTCCAGCAGCAACTGCACTGAGCCCCTCGGTGTGAGCTTTGTCTCCAGGGTACCTGCCCCATGTACAGCCCCCATTTTCTCGGCCCTCCTTCTGCTCTTGAGGTACCTACAGAAAATAACTTGGTCCTTCACAGCCCTCACTAGTTCCAGCTCCAGCTGAGCTTTGGTTTTCCTAGTCCTGTTCCAGCAAGCCCTGGCACTGTTTCTCTAGTCCTCCAGGGTAAGCCCATCCCTGCCTTTACCTTCTGTATTCTTGCCTTTTGCAATTGATTTCTGGCGGGGGTTCCTCATTCAGCCAAGCTGGCCTTTTCCCAGGTCTGCTCAACTCCCTGCATGTCGGAACGGACTGTTCTGGTGCTTCAGGTAGTTCCCCTTTGCCCTTCAAGGAGCCCTCTATGGGAGTCTGCCAAAAGGGCCCAATTGAGAAAACAATCTGCTCTTCTGCATTCTTGGCTTGCAACTTTTTCAGCATCTTCAAACTTTTCTATTTTGAAAGTTGCTGCTGCCAAAGCTGCCACCAGTCTAATATCCCTCCCCTGGCCTTCCCTGCTTATGAGTTGCATGCTTAGCACCGCAACGCTGTGAATAAGTTGTCCTTGGCATATTGCATTTATGCAGGTGTAAAAGTGCAACATTTACGTGGTCTGAAGGGCCTGTGGCACCGCGCTGCCATTCCAGCCCTCTCCAAGAGACACAGCCTGCAGGGTGAGGGCAGCCGTGAAGCCTCCTCCGCTCAACTGCGAGAAGGGGACCGTGCCTGTGGACACAAAGGTAATAAACTAAGGAGAATTCAACATTGGGAATTAGAAACGGATTTCCACCTACTGTTTCTGAGTAAAAGAGAAGTAAAAACATGACCTATGTTGTGTAATTTAACGTCTAGAAACTCATCTGTCTTATAGAACTTCCCAGTTGAATAAAAGCCAAGAAACTAATTTCCTAGTATTTGGGCGAGACCTTTGCTGAAGGCAAAGGGAAAAACCAAATTACTCAGCAGGCATCTGCATTCTCTGACATACACAGTACTTGTGCCTCTGGGCCCCAAGCTTGTAAGACCAGAGACTTTTTTTTATCCTGTTGACCTCCATTGCTTTGGTTACTCTGATCCCCCCCAATTAGAAAAAAAGAAAAAAAAAAAGACATTTTGAGCAAAAAGGAGGAGGGGAGGCAGTTAGGGAACAAATGTGGAATTTGTGTGGAGTATCCATCTCCAAAGACTCAAATTTATTTTTTTTTTATATCTGCGTGTTATTCCACATGCATATTCTAACTGCAGTCACTTAAGTCAGCCCCATATCCAATTACCAGGAGGGGGTCTGGAAGCACCTCCTGATGCCAGTGTTGCTCTCCCGGATTCATGCTGCGGATGCATCCGTATGCATGGAGTGAGTGTCAGCGTAGAGGGTGTCCAGAACAGAGATGTTCTTCACCTGGGCTGCAATGGGACACGTGCTAAAACGGAGCATGTTCTGATGCCTGGCGGCAGTGGAGTCATAAAAATAATGTCATGGGCTCCGTTACCCCGTCAGCTGCCCTTGGTGTGAAGGCATTCGTGATTCCTCAAAAACAAGTGTTAAAATACTCGGAGGGCCTCTGAACGCCTTGGTTCTGAGGATGCAAAAAGCAAAGACTCAGAGTGGGGATTGACTTCTCAGCCGCACTCTGTGATGCCTTAGAAACAAAACAGGGACCTGATTCAAATAAAAATCCTCTCTGGGAAAGACATAGTAGAGTGCCAGTGACAAGGCCTTGGATATCAGTGGCTCCAAATGGGAATTATAGCTACCAAGAATAATAATAGCTATCAAATTACTTAGTGAGTAATGTTCAGACCAAGCAATGAAGAAGGCTCAGGATCATAAAAACAGGTACCTAAGGCAGCTCTCAGGAGCCTTTCTGATTTCTCTCGCAGACAGATCTTCATTTCTGCTTCCTCAACACTTGGATCACATGATAAGACAAATTATAGGGGACCTTGAGCGGTCTCTAGACCACTCACCTGCTAAAAGGGAGGCCAACTTTTAAGTCAGACCAGGGGATCACGGCTTTATCCAGCTGGATCCTGAAAACATCCAAGGTCTCCCAGGCCCTGAAGGTTCTGTCACCACTCCCTCGGGAGGTGAGCCTGGAAACCAGCTGGCATGGACACTTGGCATCCACAGGCCTGCATCTGGCACTTGGGCACATCATGAACCTTCTCCACCTGTAGTATTCTGTATACGCACTTTGATCCCTCTAAACAATTTTCCTGAACTTCCTTTTCTTCAGCCCGGAAGGCATATTCTATATTCATAGGCCTCCACGTGTTTGAGCAGCAGCTTTCAAGATGTACTCCAGGGGTGAAACAGCACAAACATCTGCACAAAATCAACATTATGGAACTCAAAACTCCAAATCTGTTGTACGAGTCTCCTCCAGATACCGCTGCAATTGCCGTTTGACATTTCCTTCAGTTGTAGATGCTCACAGATTTGGATGAACAAAACAGCTATTGGTTACAGACAGCTAAGTTTTCTTCTAAAAGAAATACTTACCTGGTAAAAAATAAAATAAAATAAAAAACAAAAACAGAAGCATAAAAACTTATAATGCAATGAACAAAAAAGTTGCAATTTGATCTGCTTGCCTAGGAAATTGGAGGTATATAGAGTATGTTAGGTAATACAAGTAAAATTATTGCTACACACAAAATACTTGTTGCATAACAAAACAGAACAGCAGGGGGAGTGGAAACCAGTTCCACATAGAGCAGGGCTTGCAAACCATAAAATCTGCAAGCGCTGACAAATGACTCACCCAGGCATGCTTAGAAATCCTTCACTTTAGAGGTCCTTGATCCTTGCTAGCCATGGTAGCAAGCAAACAAAAATCCGTGGGAACAATTCTGTATTTTCTTGTCTGTAGTTTTGACTTCTACTGTTTGCAAGTGGCACCAA